TCGCAAAGATGAAAGCTGTATTAAATGACCCGTTGAAGTTTAAAGTTGACGACTGCCAGAAAGATAAGACAGATGCTGTCGAGAAACGTATCATTTTTTATGTGTTTGTGTTCTCTGAGCTGGATGGTTGATTTGCGAAGCTCTCATCACCCTAATAAGTGACATCTTCAGCGCATACTTTAATTTGAAGTGAGCTTTCCGATTTCTCCACGAGTTTATTAATCATCTCTCCTGGTGACCTAGGACACAACATACAGTTAGCTGTAGACCCACCGTTAAAAGCTATCAATAACTTGAAACCTAAAGTTAGTAAGAGCCATTGGATTTCCACCACCTTATCCAAACTGACTGATGCAATAAGACTGATTCCGTCGAACTCCGATTATGATTAGGTGCTAAAGCTAACAAGAAGTCTCCGTAACGGCCGTGAACAGTGATGGACGACAAAAAAGAAAGAGATGGAAAAGACATCGGCGATTGGCAACTCCAGACAACTATTTAGACTTATCAGAGGAACAGGTGGCAAAAGGCAGATGATAAGCAAAACAATCTGCAAGAAATATTGCATCATAATTAGCTCTCACGACAGATGACTGGAACGGTAGAAAGAACACTCAGTAACAGCCACGCTGAACTTACGCAGAATCCGAAACCTCCATAAATGGGATGTGAATATAGGTGCTCCTCCCTTGACTGTCTCTAGTCTGAAACGAGGCACAGCAGTGCGACCTGATAGAATGACTCCAGAAGTGTTCACGCAAGGTGGAGACAGTCTTCTGCCTGCATTAACTAGGGTACTAGGCAGAGTCTGGGAATCAGAGGAAGTACCATCGGGTTGGTGTAAGTCACTGATTATCCCCATATAGAAGAAGGGAGACAGGTCTTCCTGTGATGATGATCACAGGGGGAATTAGCTTGACTAAAATGGTATCTAAAGTTCTAGGTTCAATAATAATGCGTAGAATAAGTGGCGTTCGGGGGTAAAAAACACGAGAGAACAAGGCAGGCTTTAGACCAGAAAGAGGGTGTATTGATCATATATTTACCCTTCGACAGATTCTGGAACATAGACAGACTTACCGGCGTCCAACAGTTGTTATATTTCTTGACCTAAAGGCGGCATTCGATTCTGTCGACCGAGAGGAACTCTGACAATGCTCGGCTGTAAAGGGAATGCAGAGGAAATACATTGCACTGATCAAGGCACTCTACTCGTACTCATGCAGCCAGGCGAGGGCTTACGGCGAGTTGTCATCTGAAGTGGTGACGACTAGTGGTGTCCTTCAGAGATGCCCATTATCCCCACTTCTATTCAATTTCATCATAGATGTACTAATGGATTCAACCCTAACTCACTTTAGAGACTCGGGGATTGACTTGCTACCAGGGGATAATTTCGTCGACTTAGAATATGCAGATGATATAGTCCTTCTAGGCGAGGACGCTGACAAAATGCAGAGTCTTCCGAACACCTTGAGCTGCGATCTACGAATGTTTGGCATGCAAATCGCTCCCGCCAAATGTAGGATGATGTTACAGGACTGGACTACACCGACTCCTAGATTAGAAATAGGGAGTGAAGTGGTAGAGCACGCTGACCGCTTCACTTATTTGGGAAGTTGCATCAGCCAACACCAACGTGTTGATTTCTAACGAAATCTCAGTACGGATAGAAAGGGGGTAGTTTCGTATATGTCAGTTTACACCGTCTGTGGCGTAGACGTGATATCCGACTATCGACCAAAGGACGTGTGGTATACTGCTCAAAAGTCCACTCCGTCCTCCTTTATGGCTGCGAATGAGACATGGCCATTGAAAGTGGAAGACGAAGACATGAAAAGGGTGACTAGCTATCTTTGATCATAGGTGTTTGCGTTCTATCTCCCCTGTTAGGCGGGAGTATAATAGGGTAAGTAATATTGAGGTTGGGCGTCGAGTGTTGGGTAAGGATGGGAAACCAGTCGACGGGGCTGTGAAGTTACTCCGATTAAGAGAGATGGTTAGGACATGTGTTACGCATGCGTAGCCTAGACATCTATTGCCTTCCTCGACGGGTGATGTTAGCTGACATTGGATCGATGAGGTTGGAAAAGAGTTGGCTAATGGCGGTCAAACGAGAACATGGCCTCACCAGTCAACGACGAAATCTACAACAGTTAGTTTAAGCCAGCGAGCGACATAGGGAAGGAGGTGTAGATTTCTTGGCTGGTTGGGGTCTTCGGGATGGTAAGTATCAATGGCTGGAGACAACCGGTGATATGGCTCAAAGTGATCGTTGTCAATTGCTGTTGCAGATGCATTCACTCCTTGTGATGTATCGTATCATATAAAACTGTATTGTTCTTCTGTATTAATTACTATTCTTTTTGCCTCACACTTCTGTTTATTATTTCTCTTTTGAATCTCTCTTTACCCTCTTCTCTTTCTTTGTGTGGTACATGGAGGTAGTGTGGCATCTGGAACTGCTGCACATTCGTGCAAAATTCTACGTTGAAACTAGTCAGTCAGACCACTGGTGGCAGATGCATTTTTCTGACTAGTACTGAGAAGCACTTAAAGGGAATCCGAGGATTTTTGTTGATCATACTTAGCAAACAATTATCAACTGAATTTTCATCAAGAAAACAGTATTTGCTAGCTTGCAAACTTGATCTGTGAAATTCGGTTAGAGCTGAAGAATAAACAAAGTTGACATTGTTTAATCCTCAGTGTGTGTTTAAGGTAGAGAAAGTTTTCTGTTTCACAAGCTTAAAAGTGATTCGAACAGAATGTGAAAATAACAGTTCACTGATCTGCTTATCTTTTATTATATAAGCATTGAAGTTAGGCTTTTAAAGATTTGAAGTAAATTACTTTTAAAAAGTTTGGAACATTCACACTAATTTTATCCGAATCATGTCATTCATACCTAATGTTGAATTGTCAATAGCCAGCAAACTGTTGAGAACTAATGAGTAGTAGGTTACAATTTTGTTTCAGGTGATAACTACTGAGCAATTTGTACTCATGTCCGTTTGGAAATTATTGAGTTTCCCAAAAAACAAACACTCGATTAACTCTTTGGTCTGTGAAATATTTTCCATATCTCAGGTAATTAATGGCAATTTATTGTTATTCAGTGGATAGTGACTAGCAGAGAAGTTCAGGATTCGCACCACTCTTTTGGACTCGTCATATGGGTGTACCTTCAATCTCTAGTAAATAACGGTATCCCAACCGAGACTCGAACCCAGTAGTTTTGACGTCTAAGACAAAGACTTTGCCCTTTTTTCCTCACTTATTTTTAATTATTGAATTGAAATCTTGATTTTATAACTAAATTAATGATAACAGATTTCTGAATTTACGCAATATAACTAATTTTACTATGTTGCATTGAATGTTAATTTACCAGAAAACGTTGAACATTGAGCAAGCTTTTTAATGACTACGTGATAAGAATTCTCCGGTTTCTTTTTTTCCATTCCTTTACTTTCCTTGTGGAATATAAGGCGTCAAACTTTGGATTTTCAGTTGCAGTTTTTTTTACAGGATAGGTTAACTAATTTCACATCAAACCCCCATCTTTTCTAAGGACACTACTACTGAGCAAACTGAGCGAGATTTAGGAATGCATCACGAAGGGGAGGGGGGGGTTGGAATACAACCCTGACTACTTGTGTGACTGGATAGTACTCTACCCCTGAACCACCGGTGAAGTCTTTACTCTTAACGAAATTTACGATTTTGACTGAAATCGTCACTAATTAATATTATTGCTGATTATTGAGTGTAATTCTTATTAGTATAACGACTTGGAGCATTTCTAGTATGTATCTTGCAAATGAGTACTGTTTCTTTTGATATTCTAAACAGCTTTACATTCAAACGATACCAAAAGCATATATCGAATTTGACTGACATTTCCATTGATTTTTTCCTTCTTCAAGTATGTATTATTATTTGCAATGCATTTGAAATTTGACTTTAAGCTAACTAGGAATGATGTAAGCTCTTTGCCTTGAAAAAACAATAGATGCCAGTTGGAAATGTTAAATAGAATGTTACGAAATCACCAAACAAATTATGTAGAGAAATTTCAAATTGCTTTAGAATCATTATTTTCACTCTGATTAAAGTATTATTATTCGTCCTTTGTTCTCTGGGTGAACTAAAAAGCCTCAGAAGCATAATGCTGTTCTACTCTGATCGCTGCCATTACTTTTTACTCATCTTGAGATTATCTGGAGTTCTTCATTTCCTCAGACCGACACCCAACCTATCGTTTCCCATTCTGGCTATAATTATGAGCCTGCCTGACGTGTGATGTCAGAGTACATCAAATACACCTTAATTCCCTTGATATTTGTTGAGCGACAGGTTGATGGATAGTTTGCTACACTACCAGAGTTCCTCGTTGCTTAAATATCCTTTCTGGTCAACTGATCTGCAGCATCAACGTGGTGAAGGCAGCAGTCTGCTGGAAGTGCATTGTGTTAGACGCGCACACAGTTTCTGAATAGTATAGAGATACCGACTTGACATTAGTTTCGAAAAGTTTGCGTCTTTTTCTTCATGCTGAGTGCAGTAGACTTCCACATTGATTTCAGAGTAATGGATGCCTGTCCTTCTACCTTGACGTGATCCTGAATGTCACCGAAATCATCACCCGTATTTGAGTAGCCTAGCCTCATGTCGTTTAACTTCAAAATAAAAAGGAATATGATCAAGATATTTGACCGTTCATGTGGATTTTCCGGACAAAAGTCACTAAATATCAAGCCAAATCTAACTTCTTATAAATTTAAAAGTATCAGTAACCGACTTCACGTGTTGTTAATCTATCGTACTTATCTTTGCAGTTTAGACATATATGACCTTGGTCTAAAAATGATTTGTCCAGTATAAACGAAGGACTGACAACACTGAAAGTTCCTACTAAAACCTAATTGGCTAAATTATTATCACTGCCCTAGATATCAGCCTAACATGAAGCGCATTGTGACCTTCACCCGGGCATTAGCCAATCAGATATCTTGAATATTTTGACCATACAAAAAACCGAGAAAACTGAGGCACACGGATTTAACTACTAGTTAGTAGAGAATTTACGTATCTGCGATGTCGACACAGCGAGTCAGTTGTCGCACATACCACTGAGCAAGGAATTTACTATCTCAAATACAACACTAATGTTAATGAATTCATGTGGTACCATAATCAAATACCATCAAGCGCCGATATCTTAACACTTAGAAACTGGAATTTTTTATTCCCACGTGTCATCACTGCATTCATTTTTATCTTATTACTGCAAACTTCTGGGTGTGTAGATAGTGGCCAGATATGTAGACCTCCAGGAGGTAAACACAAACTCCAGGAGCTTCACTCGGCTTTTCAACAAGTATCCTCAAAATCAAAGTTAATTAATGAGAAACGACTCAATCAATCTCGTCTGGAGTCTAAAGGAATTAACGCTCGATATGTCTCAAATGTATATTTGGGAGTACAACTTGGACCGCTTGGACAAGACAGTTTCGCTCAGGTCCTTCCTGCAATTGATTTGGCTTTGGAAGATATACAAACAATGCCAGCTTTTAAAGGTGTCAGTTTCACTACAGTACTAATATTATACATTGATGGCCTTGCGTGCGATTCACTTGCTTTACTAACAGAACTAAACTCGAAAGGCATAAATGTAATCTTCGGTCCTTTAAATGATTTCCACCTGGCTAACGCAGTAAGATTCAGTACTTCTATGTACAATGTTCCTGTTGTGAGTCCGGCTGGTTTCGCACATCGACTGGACGATAAAAATGAATTTGCTATGCTTACACGCGTCTTATTTACCTACTCAGATTTGGAATGGGTTTTTAGCAACACTTTAAAACACTACGGGTGGTTACCCAATAAGCAGACACCAGTAGCAATATTTACAATTAGAGATAGCAAAAGACAAGAAGAAGCAGTTGGACATACTGGAATGACTGGCGTTTTCCAACATTTAAAGCTTCAACAGTTTTTAGTTAAAGCTGCATACAAGCTTCTGTCAGTTACCTTAAATGATGAAGTTGATGTGACTGATAGCTTCCTAAAACGTCTTCCTGACTCTGCCAGAAGTAAGTCACTAAATGTATTGTATATCAAATTACATAAGCAAATAACTTTGTATTTATGACTTATGCTTGTTGCATCGAACAGTGCAACCCGACTCTTGATCCAAAATGTCTCCTATTTACGAAATTTCGTATTTATTTGTTAGTTGGCCTGGTACACTTTATGCCTGTTTATTTGTTTTTTTTTGTGTATGGCTTGACTATTTTTTATTCATAGCTGGCTAGATATTGATTTTTACACTTTAATGCTTTCAATGTAAATTAGTCTTGTAATTTTAATGACCATCCAGTACACTACATGTTTACGTGATGGTGATACTAAGATTTCAAGTTGCTGTCGGCACTTTCATAAGAGGATTTTAAAAAATAAACTTATTAGACGGTCGCTGCATAGGGAGTACGAAAAATGTGTAGAGTTCATGTTTCGCATCATGATTATATGGGGGAGATTTCATTGATCATATAATTAGTTGTTCGGTTTGCAACGTTAGACATGATATCAAATTAAAATTGTTCGTGATCTCGACATTTATTTCTTCTTCATGTAAATAACAAAGTGAGCAGATAATTTTACTTCTTAGAGTATCTCGATGTATTTTCTGTTTGTATCTTCACTATATTATGAACTAAATTCTAGATGCTTCTGTCACATCAAGTTGGAGTAAACAATGGGAGTTGAAACGTGTTTCGCGTGTTTTCCCCATTCTTTGTCAAAAATAGCAGCATACGAATTAATTTCACCACTAGGTTTCCAAATGGAATATTTCTGTTTTGTTAAGGAACGGTTTCGATTTTATGTATTTTATTCGTTCGTCTCATCAAGTGTCTCTTTTTGTTAGCTAAAGATGGTTAATAAATTAATATTTATAGGTATTGTAAGTAATAAAAAATTTTATTTGTTCAAGTTAAGCGGAGTCCGGTTGATGATTCTAAAATATTTCGAAGTGCGAATTGTGGATTCCACCTCAAGCCACCATCAAACCGCATATGAGCAGCATTTGGTTTTCTGATTTTAAAATACGTATTATTTTATGAAATACGCTGCATTATGGTAGAATAAATCAGAAAAGTCCATTTTGTTTGTAGGCAACTTTTATTCACATCCTTTTTTCACCATCTCATTCATCAGTATTTGCCAGCAACATGTTAAATCATTTCTAACTTTCACCTACTCAACTCTTACTTCCTGTCATTTCTTTTAGTGACAGACTTATTCCACTGGTATCAGTTTATGTCTTCAGATATTGGTGAAGACTGGGTGGGTAGCTTGCACTTAATATTGTCTTTAGAAATATGAGTGTCTCATGAAAACTCCACACGTTTTGAATATTTGTTCAGTAGTTTGTAGAAAATGCATTGAGTAGCAATGAAATCTGAACTGCATATGTAGCGGAAAAATTTCATAATTTACAGTTTTTTATCATATAAGAGTTGGGAGAAGAGTAATGTCAATTTTTGTTATGGTTAGGGAATAAATAGAACATATTAATTGACCTATTGCACTGTATAGAAATTGAGTAAGTATCTACGTTGAAAATAAAGTTAATCAGTTTGGAATCATCAAATTTACACTAAAGTCAATAACAGATTAAGAGGTATGTAAGGGTGTATTACATGAACAACGTTGCTTATTGGTTTGGTGAATCTTTGTTTTAAACCTCTCAATGTTGTTTCATGGTGGTAATTAATTTTGCCCTTCTAATTGGTAGTTTTCTCTATGCAACCTACTTTTTTCACCACCTTTTGGACTAACTTTTGTTATGTATCATGTTATATTATTAAAAGTCGTAACACTAACTCCATTGAGAAGATATCTCCAAGCTTGGCGATGAGACGTTCATAATTGAACGTAGAAGCTTTCATGACACCAAACATTTTGCAGCTTTGTTTAATTTTTGCTAATCATTTTTACGATAAGCTGAATAGTCTAGGTGATAGGCTACCCTTAGTATATCACTTGATGGTTTTAGTTCAACTATGAAAACATATTAAAACATAAAAACGCTATTATTGTTATCGTTGTACATCTTAATGACTTTTTTGGCTTTTCCATCTGTGACTTATTTAACTAACTCTGATCAGTTTGACTTTCTATGCGGCTTTAAATGTTCCTTCAAACTGGTTTGTATCGTGTTTTTTCTTCTGCTAAATTTAAGTAATACTCTTAAAATCTATTCTCACCCTCTTAGATAATTATCAATCTAAATCACTTATGTCTTATGTTCATGAAGTAATATGATCAGTGAAATCATTTATTCAAGATCTGAATTTCTATGAATTCACATGTTACTTTCACCTGATACGCATGTCCTAATGTAGAGAAGGGAAAGACCCTAAAATATAAGTTGCCATCAGCTGCTACTCTTTTGATGTTTATTTTACAGCTTTCATACCCTAGGATAAATCTTTCTTCAGAGTCCACCACAATTGCACGTATGTTTATATGCATTTTAGAAGACAATTTTACACGTAATATGGCATCGATAATACTGATAATTACCACTTAAGAAATAAACAATAAATTGTTTGCTTTAAAAAAGTAAAACAAAAACGCTTTATCCAGTTTATTTTTTGTCCTGATCAGGTCAAATTAAGTTTTCTTTTAACTCAGACCATTGGAATATGATGAGTACAACCTTCGTAGTGGTTGTAATAATAATAATAATATTAGCTATTCACCCACTAAGATAATCAAATTATAGAAGGAAATTTGTGTTGCCTAAAGTCATGTTGGATGACGAGCATGCATAACTGACATTTCATTCTTTACAAATGAAAACACTTCGTAATGCTAACATTTCTTCGTTCATTAATACAAGTTACACTTGTAAATATGATATGAAATATCTATCATTGCACCAACTACCTCGTAAACAAGATGGTTACAGGTAGCAGCTGAACAGTGTTTAAAATGAAAAAAATTCAGATCGTTTATTCATTACTCTCAGGATTGTATTACTTTAATGGTCCAACTGTTGTTCACTACTGATTTTTTAAAAGTTTATCAGTAAAAGAGTGACGCTATGAATTCGTTAGTTCCTTCCTTCTGATGATAGTTAAAACGCAAATTGATTAAAGAGGATCACCGGTATATAAAAAAACGATTGCACTTAGTTATATGCATCAGCCAAGATCCTATGTATGATCACATCACTTATCATAATTTTAAAAGCACCACTAATTCTACTTATAGTCCTTAAAGTTCTGTACACACTATGATCTTTTCCCAGAAGTCTAAGGAAAAATTAAGAGAAATGCGATAGCTTGTGCTAAAAGGCAAAATTTTTAATGTATATATATATATATATATATATATATATATATATATATATATTTCCTTCACGTTCCCCAGTGGAACATAGGGCTTCAAGCTTGTGGCTTGAAGTTTCTGTAGCAGTGTTTATTTTACAGGATACGGTTGCTAGCCTCATGCCCAACCTTTCCTCTTTACCAGCATTATTTCTGGCTTAGCAAGCTAAAGGAGTGCGTGTGTATGTTTAGCCTATCTGAATAACTTTCACGTCTTTCCTGGCATCTGGCACTTTTTACAGCTACGCCTAACTAGTCGTCACTTGATATCACAACCTTCAAATGTCCTATGCCCGGTAGAATTTTCACCATTGAGGAAATAAAAGTAATACTGTAGGTTTTCTCGAAGAACTATTCTTTGTTTTATTAGAGATTGCAGGCAATAAATTTGTACATATGGGAAATAAGACTTTGACACAGCAAGTTGCGAATATTTAAAGACATCTTCCAACCAAGGGAGAATATATTAAGATTAAATTACTGCCACTTTTCAATCATAAAAGTTTGATAATCTATAGGTTGTAGGATACTTAGTAAATTTGCCTAGAAAGCTGTTTTATGTCAGTATTTATTTTTTTTATTTATTTTTGATTACAGCCTGATTCCACACCGTATTTTTGGTACAAGTATGGAATTTCCAGCGTGTGATATCTGTAGCCCGAATTTTGCAGGCCGACCATAGATATCAGGTGTGCGTCGGCGTGGGCTCGAACCCAGGACCATATGCATAGTCGGCGAGAGTCCTAATCACTGTGCCACAACACACTAAACACAATCCAGTGAAATATAGTCTTCCAAGTTGCATGCCTTATAATTCTTAGTGGTTCTTTATTACTATTATTATAATTATTATTAATACTATTAAAGCGCAAACTTAGCACATTATGGGTATGTGTACTAGAAAGTTATGCACTTGTCTTCAGTTAATTATTGTTTTTAGATCTAGTTTATATGCTTCAAGATTCTTTTTAGACTGTGCTACTAAACTTCTACATTTACCTTCTATCATAATGATAATAACTAGAAATAGTGGTTTTTATCACTAACATTACAAAAAAGCACAATGTGTACTTATTCTATGCATTTGTAAATTAGTTATATTTGTTCCAATGAAATAGGACAAATTTGCAGTGCAATTAACACATGACCTTAAACATTTTAGTCAATAATTTTGTTCAGTTGTATGAAAATGTGAAATATTTTTTTCATCTTCATTCTATAGAAAAATTTAAATTGACACTAGAATCAAAACATATTAACAGGTGGAACCTTCGATTTTCTCCTCTAAGATACTTAGTGTGTGTTTTTATCAGGCCAGGCTTCACATAATAGGTAGTTTTTAAGTTTATGATGACTTCCGTCCTTAGTGGCAACAAAGGTGAATAAAAAATCGATTAATGGTACATCTGTTACATATTTTGTACTGTGACCTGTATCTTACTAATCACAAACACATGGAGTATTTCATTTTACCGTCTTTTATTACATCCAAAATGTTGAAGACATAAACACTCACTTTTGACCGGCATCACATTATTGTAATTATTATCAGTATTCAGTAAAAGGTGTCAAATTTAAATGTGGTGAGAAATAATTGTTGCGAGGTTATTAGCAGATTGTGAAATATACAAATTTATTCAATTCACGTCTTATTTCTTCTACAAATGCTTGCATCAGTCTGCTCATAAGCCTAG